CAAAAGAGGAAAACAACAAACATTTACACATTATATATACAGACATATCTCCCAAGCAGTACGCCACAGCCATTAATAGCATACAGAGAAGAAGAGCTGAAAAACTTGAGAGGAACAGGTAAAGAGACAGCGTATCTTCCACATGATCGGATATATGATTATGATGTTTACAATGATCTTGGAGAACCCTCGAAGGGAAAGGAATTCGAACGCCCGGTTCTCGGAGGATCCGAAGAGACTCCTTATCCTCGACGAGGACGAACTGGACCACCTGGAATCAAAGGTAAGTCGATCTTAATTTCTGCAAGTCAACAATGTCTTATACATTGAATAAAATGCTAATGCTTTTAATAAGACTTTTTGAATATTTTCAAGCTTTATACCCATTTGAGTTTAACAGAACTATAGCCTTATAGAAAATCAAAGTTACTAATAAAATTTAAATTCTTAATCGTGTTAATTTTTTAGATTTATTGGATTAAAAAGGCAGTAGTTTAAGTTCTATAGTTCCTGTCAATTCTGATTACATATTACATTTCTGTGCATAGCTGAAAAGCCAGCTTCTAAGTTAAAGGAACATAGGAAATATAATTGCTATGGTAAGAACAGTGGTGTATATATAAGAAATCATCTAATTAACAGGAAGGGTACATATCTAAGAACTCATCCAATTAAGAACTTATATGTGTGTTTTGTTAGAGAGAAAAAAACTTACGTATGTGGATGCTAATTAAGAATCCACCGAAGATCACTCATGAGCATATTGAATTTTCTTTAGGCGAATATTTACCTCGTGATGAGTACTTCCGACATCTCAAAAGCTCAGACTTTGTTGCTTATAAATTCAAGTCACTTCTCAAAACAATGATACTCAAACGAGGAGGAGAAGAATTTCGCTCGTTCAAGGATGTAAGGAAACTCTACGGAAGTGTATGGATTATTTCCGATATCATCTCTTGGCTTGCACATAGGATTCCCTTTGAATTGATCAAGGAGCTATTAAGATCAGAAGGAGAGTCCTTGATCAAGTTTCCAGTTCCTCAAATTATCAAGAACGGTATGTGGGGCTTGGACCTCACTTTTTGATTACATTAATTATTGTTTTCGTCATTTCCTTAACACTGTTATATAATTTTCAGATAATGAAAAATCGAATTTGTGGGCGAATGACAAAGAATTTGCACGACAGATGCTCGCTGGATTGAATCCGGTTCTTCTTCGCACTGCTGAGGTTGTTCAAATATTTAATTTAAAATTTGCAACTAATTTTGAGTCATTAATGCATCTCATCAAAATTTTATTGATTTATTTCTAATTTCAATTTGATTAGGATGAGGAGATACACGAGTTTTATGAGAACAAGCAAAAGAAAAATATGATGCAGGAGGCGGTATGTTACTTTTTATATTTATGCTAACATTTTTAAATATGTTCTATCAATATATATTATGCATTACATGATAGGTAACATTATTTTCTATTACAGGGGATGGATGATAAGAATATCAACAAAGGCAATGATAGGAGATTCTTTGTCTTGGACCATACTTCTTACATGAAGAAATACAACCTTCAAGACAAAATACATGAGTTTACTAAAAACAAGGTTTATGCGTCAAAAACACTTTTGTATTTGGAGGAAGATGAAATCCTGACTCCTGAAGGCATTTTGCTAATAGAGAGAACTAAAGATGACAGATACAAAGAGGAATATTACTTCCCTGCTGAGGGCGGAGTTGAGGGAGGCCTATGGATGCTAGCAAAGGCATTTGTTGTTGTAAATGATTCAGGCTATCACCAACTCATTAGCCATTGGTAATTCATACATACATGCACACGTACATTCCTATGTGTACACATACACATATATGCATATGCATAGACAGATAAGATAAACACACACATGTACACATATACATACACACAGCAACATGCACACACATGTAGTAAATTGACTTCAGAAGGCACATTTATGGACCTCTTGGTTTTATACATTGCAGGCTATACACACATGCAGTGATTGAACCATTCGTGATAGCAACAAACAGAAGGCTTAGTGTGATGCACCCAGTACAAAAGCTTCTTTGCCCTCATTTCAGTGACACTATGAACATGAACAATCTAGCTCGCCATAAGCTTGTCAATGCCGATGGAATCATTGAGAGAACATTCTTTGCAGGATCATTTGCGATGCAAATGACTTCGGAGGTATATAAAGATTGGAACTTCATGGATCAAGCTCTCCCAACTGATCTCATCAACAGGTTTGTATCTTAGCTTTCGAACTTCAGATTACCACTTTAACTCTTAAGTACAAGTTTAATCAAGGATGAGTAGTACTTTATGAATTTCATATAAAAATATACATGTTGTTTGTATTTTCTCATCAGATACATGTATTTACACTCCCTTACACATGTAAATGCATCCCTTTTGCATACATACTAAAGATGTGGTAAAATATTGACCTATACTTTCATTCTGCAGAGGTGTAGCAGTTAAGGCAAACCATGACAATGAGGATGACAATGATGAGAATATTCGTCTATTGATCAAAGACTATCCTTTCGCTGTGGATGGGCTGGAAGTATGGTCAGAAATCAAGAGATGGGTCACCAAATACTGCTCTCTTTACTACGACAATGATGCTGCTATCCAAGCCGACACAGAGCTCCAACAATGGTGGAAGGAGGTCCGAGAAGTTGGCCATGGCGACTTGAAGGACAAACCCTGGTGGCCAAAAATGCAGACTAAGAAAGAATTGATCGATTCTTGTACCATCATATAGGCTAGCCTCTGGGGCATTCATGCTGCTGTAAACTTACAGTCTAGTATCCTACGCTGGGTATGTTCCAAATCGTCCAACATTTACTCGTAAAAAGATGCCTGAGATTGAAGAAGAGAGAATGGAGATGCAAAAAGACCCCGAAGGATATTTTTTGAGGACCATCACAAGCAAGTCTCAGATGCTGGCGATTATATCGGTATTGCAAATACTGTCGAGGCATACTAATGAAGAGGTTTATATAGGGCAAAGGAATGAGCCTGAGTGGACTTCTGATCGAAATGCTCGGCTTGCATTTGATGAGTTCCATTCACGGTTGAAGGAGATTGTTGAGGTGAATATTGATAATAGAAATTGGGATGAGAGTTTGAAGAATAGGAATGGAGAAGTGAAGGTTCCTTATACTTCGCTTTATCCGAATACTTCAGGGAACACTGTTCCTGGACTTCATGGCAAAGGAGTTCCAAATAGCGTATCTATATGAGATTTGCTTGATGTTGTAGTAGTTGAATGTTTGTACCTTTGACTTTCAATGGTGAGTACAATGGAGTAAAATAAATGCAGTTTATGAGACAGTATTGCTTTACCAAATAGGCTAATTAGTATGATTGAGTTTCTGCCTATGCCATGGCCTTCCGTAGTGCTTAACTAGCTAGCATCTGAGGCAATCTTTTTAATTTCCCCCCGGTATTCCATAGCGTCATCCGTCCCTTATCTATGAGTTCAGTCCAACTAATGTTAACGTCAGGTGGTAGAACGATCAGTAAATTTGCTACCATAAGTTCATGGATTGAATGTTCAGGTTAATAAAATTCTAAGTCCACAATTCCACAATTAACGTGTTTACAGGTTAATTGTGAACTATCATAATACTGAGTTTTGGAACAAGTCAACAATTTTTGCAACAAGCCCACTATAATTTCAGAACAAAACTTTAGTCAATGAAAATGATCGTGAGCTATATTGTTAATTAATAAGTAGTCCTTTCATCTTACCAGTTAAATTGACATTTTATCAAACAATTGGAGTGGACAAATACATACCCCTCTCTCTACCAAGGGTATTCCATCGAACAAATATACTCTTACATTGAACGATTTTTTCTTTGAGATTTGAAGAAAATTAATGGACAAAAGGATACCCAAGTGGAACAAAATCAAGATTTGACTTCCACCCACTAAGTTTGCTTTAAAAAAACAGAGAGAGAGAGAGAGAGAGAGAGAGTTGCACAATGCTTAAAGTGAAACAAACTCAAACTTTATAGCTTGTATAATACCATGAAGAATTGGGTCATCCGAATACTTGACTCTTTTATCTTGATCACATGACCAAAAATGCCAAAGGAAAAATTCTAACTATACGCAACATAAGAAAAAGAAATTAAATACGATTTCTGACCTCAAAAAATCATCCGGGCTCGAGGACCAATGAATGACAGTGAGCAAAAGCCCCAGCAAAATGAGAGTGGAAAGCAAACCACAGAGATCGGGAGCAGCGAAGGAGGGCGGAGGAAGCGATCGGTTTAAGAGCATCTCCAAGGGGCCGGAGAAATCCGGCCCCTTAGCTAAATTAGCGGATATTTAAGGGGTTTCGGTTCAAGTCCCTTAACCTCCCCAATTAATTTAGAGTTAATTAAATTTAGTTAATGTAAAGTTAATTTAAAATAATATAATTAAGTTAATGTATAGTTAATTTAATTTAATTAATATTTTTTAAAATATACCTCTTTTAATTTTTTATTATAATATTTTATTACTATTTTTTATAGGGTTTTTTTTTCCTAGTATAGGGTGCTTTTCTAGTATAGATTTTTTTTTCTAATATAGGTTGTTTTTCTAGTATAGAATTTTTTTTTAATTATAGGTTGTCTTTGTAGTACCGGGTGTGTTTCTAGTATAGGTTTTTTTTCCTAGTGTAGGCTATTTTCCTAGTATAGGCTTTTTTAATTATAGGTTTTGTCTTTGTAGTATAGGGTGTTTTTCTAGTATAGGCTTTTTTCCTAGTGTAGACTATTTTTCTAGTATAGACTTGTTAATTATAAGTTTTGTCTTTGTAGTATAGGGTGTTTTGTATAGCCTTTTTTTCCTAGTGTAGGATGTAGGTTTTTTTTTGTTTTTTAGCTACAATAGTTAATTTTTTTTAATTATCTAATTTTTTTTTACCCTATAAATAAGGCACTACCCTGAAGTGCACTTTCACACTTCACTACAAGTAGATGGCAGAAAATAATAATCCATATTATGTCAATTTGATGACTAGTCATTATCCATGGGAAGATCAATATGAAGAGCAATCGTTTCAACCGGACATACTCGAAGAAAATTCGGTAAAAGATGTACCATTGCAAAAGAAGTTGATGCGAAAATCAAAATATCGGATCGAAGAAGTCATCTTGCTTGTATCTGCATGGATCAACACTAGCATTGATCCAATGCAAGGGACATTGCAAAAATATGCCACATTTTGGAACCAAGAAGCAACTTATTATCATGAAAACAAAACATTCAGTAGCGATCGTGATCAAAAAGGGTTAGAGCACCGTTGGTCGGCTATTCAAATTGCAGTTAGTAAATTTTGTGGGTGTTTTAATCAAATTAAAGCAAGAAATCAAAGTGGCTTGACAGAGAATGACAAGGTACTAATTCTTGAATTCAGATTATTTAAACTGATTAGATTTATATAATTTATTATATTTTTACTTTTTACATGTTAGTAAATTTATTTTATTTTTTAATTAGATTATGGAAGCGATGCAACTGTTTCAAAGCATGCAAGAAGCAAGTTTTCAATTTTTACATTGTTGGAATGATTTAAGGTTCCATCCAAAGTGGCTTGGCCAATTTTCAATGAAAAAGCTAAGAAGTCAAAAAATTCAAGTCCTGCTACATCTTCTCCTGCAACTCCAGATTCAATAAATTGCAGTGAAGAAGAATGTCTTACTGAAGGTTTGTCAAGGCCCATAGGTAGAAAGGATACAAAAGAAAGGTTGAAACAAGGTAAAGACAAGCATATCGCTTCTGAAATTACACCAGCGATGTTGTTTATTGATGAAATGAAGCAGGATCGGAAAGAAAAAGAAACAAAGAGAACAAAATTATTTGATCAAATTTATGTTCAGGAGCAAGAGCGCATAAAGATAGAGCAAGCCAGACTACAGTTCGCTCAAGAAGCTCAAAATATCAAAAAGGAAAAAATGCGATTGAAAGCTATGAAACAAGATGAGAGGATTACGGTAATTAACACTGATGGCATGCCTCCATTACAAGTAGAGTATTACAATAAGCTGAAGATGGAAATTCTTGAAAGACAATTTGGTGGTGGTGGTTCAAATTAGAAGGAAGGTGTATCGTACTTGAAGATGACATATCGTATTTAATGTGTTTTTATGTATTTCAATTTACTCTTATTGTATCATACTTGAAGATGGTGTATCATAATTGAAGATGCTGTATCGTATTTAGTGTGTTTTTATGTATTTCAATTTACTCTTGTTGTATCGTACTTGAATATGATGTATCCTATTTGAAGATATAATGAAGTTCTATTTATGCAAATGGAAACTTTTCTCAAAAATCAAATATGATCACATATTCCTCTAGAAATTCAATAACATCAATACTACATCAACTAACAGTTTCTTACTTGCAACACTAAATTAAATGACATTAATATTACATCAACATATAAATCCCTTACTAAAGCCCACCATTTCGTTCCCATAAATGCTCGACAAGATCCAATTGCAATTGAGAATGAGTTTGCCTGTCTCTAATGTGATGACGATTCTGAATAAATTCACACAAATCTATTGTACGTTCGTGAGACACTGATATGGTTGGAGCTTCCTCAGCAGCATCGTACATGAAGTCGATCTCTCTATCATGTCTTTAATCTTCAACGATCATGTTATGCATTATTATGCATGCTTGCATAATATTCTTCAATATTTTCTCATCCCAAGAGCGAGCTGGTCCACGCACAATTTCAAAGCATGATTGGAGTATCCCGGATACTCGCTCTACATCCTTTCTTGCCGACTCATGAAGTATAGCAAAATGTTTTCTTTTATTTCTTTGTGGTAAAGAAATTGTTTTAACAAATGTTGCCCATGAAGGATATATACCATCAGCAATGTAGTATCCCATCGTGTATTGATGACCATTGACTATATAATTAATAGTCGGACCATGCCCTTCAGCAAGTTGTGAGAAAACAGAAGATCGTTCTAACACATTAATGTCATTAAGAGCTCCCGGTAAACCAAAAAAACATGCCAAATCCAAAGATCATATGAAGCAACAGCTTCTAGAAATATTGTAGGAGTGTGGATGTGACCAGTATACATACCATGATACGCAGCCGGATAATTTTTCCATCTCTAATGCATGCAGTCAGTGCTTCCTAACATCCTAGGAAATCCTCGTTGTTTACCAATTGCAAGCAATCTTGCAGTGTCCTCGTCAGTTGGTGACCTTAGATACTCATCACCGAAAATTGCAACAATTGCTTTGGTAAACCTACCAAGACTCTTTATAGCGATGCTTTCTCCAATCCGCACGTAATCATCCACAGAATCTGCTGATACTCTATAAGCAAGCATCCTCATAGCAATAGTTACTTTCTGTAGTGAGGATAAACCAAATTTCTTACCAGCATCCCATTTTTGGACAAAGTAGGAATCACGTGTTTCCACTACGAATAAAATACGCAAAAATAGTGGATGATGCATACGAAACCTTCTTCGAAATAGTTTTGTTGGATACACAGGAGATTCTCTAAAATAATCATGAAAAAGCCTCTCGTCACCTTCAGCTCTATCGAGTTGAATTACAATGTGCCAGGAATGGAACCACGACGATAAGAACTTTGACCTTCGCTGGAGTGTTGTTCTTCCAAAGATGCGATTGCTAATAAGGTGGCATAATCATCATCGTCGTCATCCTCTTCCTCTTGTAGCAAGGCACATAACAAATTACTAGCCATAAATAATATTGAAGATTAGGTTAAAAATTTGAATGAATTCGTCGCTATCGAATCATGTTGTGCTCTCTTCTTATAATGTCTTTGTTGCTGATGGTAAAAATTCTTACCCCGCTGTTGTGTCCTCTAGATACCACATTAGGCCTCTTGCCCTTGTCATTTCCATCATGCTGGTCTTGATTTCATTATTAACTATAGGTATATCTCACTGCTTTAATCGAACTAGCTCTAACTGCTTGTCGAAGAAGTAAATAAAATTTTTCCAAATAAGTGATATTAACTACTCCTGTGAAAATCCGAAGGCGTTGCTATCCTTTGTTACCATTCTCTGGTGATGATAAAATTATTGGTATTGCCTCTTCAATAGGCATGACTGGTACAATTAGTTGTGCAACTCCAGAAAATGATACTGCTGACGAAAACGGATGTGCTTCTCGCTCCTCGAGTATTACAAAATCTTACTGTAAATGGTGCTATAAGGTCGATCAGATACTGTAGAGCCTACTGCGGCTCGGGGTTGCTTGCCTAGGTCTCCGGGTATGAGTTTTATCTTAACCACATCCTCGTCCCAACATTTATAATATCAAGAGGAGTGCTTAATGGACACAGTAAATGACATCACAAACATATATACATATATATAACGTATCATAATAAGAATTCATAGCATATAGTATTCACGCAAATACTTTAAATCAACATAAAATAATTGTCATAAATTTTTTTTTAAAATTTTGAGATATACGCACATATCGTCCTCAATCATTCTAGAAATTCCTAGTGGACTCTATACATGAATCCTAGGAAACTCTATCCTAGCTCCACAATTTGACACTGGAATGATCCTAAGGATATTGGAACTAGAGCTCTGATACCAACTGTGACGCCCCAGGGTTCACACAAGGCTGCAGTCCCAAATAAAATCCGGATTGTCAAACCTGTCAAGCACCAACCACTATGCTACAACATGTTTCACCATCACAATCACTATCTCTCTAGTGGAAATAATTGTTAGACCCTAGAGGGGGGGGGTGATTAGGGTCTTATGCTAATCTAATCCGATTAAATGCCAATTAAAAACTAATTAATAAGTTATCCTAGCAAGTATAAAATACAACAAGATATGTGAGCTAGGATAAGCAATATGAACAACAAGATATATCCTAAATGATAGAAATATATGCAAGGATATATAAACTAATACAAGATAATATATCCTACCAAAAAGATATATAATATGATATATGCAAGGATATGAAACTAACACAAGGGGTAAACAATATGAACTAAATAGTGGATCATATAAATAATGAGCTATGGCCAATGGCGATATAAGATATGAACATAAATATAAATGAACGCCAAAACACACTCAAACACAATCAAGTGATCACGGAGTTCGGACATTCCGTCCTACGTCTCCGCTCCCCACTCC